AAAGGTTCTAAAGCTATGGTCAATGACCAGAGGACTCCATTGATGGTTGCTGCTACTTATGGAAGCATTGATGTGATCAAGCTTATTGTTTCTTTGACTGATGCTAACGTGAACCGAGCTTGCGGGAACGATCAGACCACCGCGCTGCACTGCGCTGCTTCTGGGGGAGCTGTGAATGCTATACAAGTGGTTAAGCTGCTTCTTGCAGCTGGTGCTGATTTGAATCTGTTGGATGGTGAAGGTCAACGAGCTGGTGATGTTATTGTTGTTCCTCCTAAGCTTGAAGGTGTTAAGCTTATGCTTCAGGAGCTTCTTTCTGCTGATGGATCTTCGACTGCGGAACGGAATTTACGAGTTGTGACGAATGTTATGAATCGAAGCACTTCTCCGTCTCATTCTCCGACTGGGGAGAACGGGGAATACGGGTCTGGATCGCCTCTTGGTTCTCCGTTTAAGCTGAAATCGACTGAGTTCAAGAAAGAGTATCCGGTTGATCCGTCTTTACCGGATATCAAGAACAGTATCTATGCGACTGATGAGTTCAGAATGTATTCTTTCAAGGTTAGGCCTTGTTCGCGTGCTTATTCGCATGATTGGACCGAGTGTCCTTTCGTTCACCCGGGTGAAAACGCGAGGAGAAGAGACCCGAGGAAGTTCCATTACAGCTGTGTTCCGTGTCCGGATTTTAGGAAAGGGGCTTGTAGACGAGGAGATATGTGCGAGTATGCGCACGGTGTGTTTGAATGCTGGCTTCATCCGGCTCAATACCGGACCCGTCTTTGCAAAGATGGAACTAGCTGTGCTCGTCGTGTTTGTTTCTTTGCGCATACGCCCGAGGAGCTTCGACCTTTGTATGCTTCTACTGGTTCTGCTGTTCCTTCGCCTCGATCAAATGCTGATTATGCAGCTGCTTTGAGTCTCCTTCCTGGGTCTCCATCAGGCGTCTCTGTCATGTCTCCGCTCTCGCCATCATCAGCGGGGAACGGGATGTCTCATTCGAACATGGCTTGGCCGCAACCAAATGTTCCAGCTCTACACTTACCTGGAAGCAATCTACAGTCAAGTAGGCTAAGATCTTCTCTCAACGCAAGAGATATCCCGCAGGACGAGTTCAATATGTTAGCGGATTACGAGCAGCAGCAACTCCTCAACGAGTTTTCCAATTCATTGAGCCGTTCTGGTCGGATGAAATCAATGCCTCCTTCGAATCTCGAAGATCTTTTCTCAGCAGAAGGCTCTTCGTCTCCTCGGTTCACCGATTCCGCATTAGCTTCCGCGGTTTTCTCGCCTACACACAAATCAGCTGTCTTCAACCAGTTC